GGGAAGGGAATGATGCATTAAAGGGACATTCATTTGTTCAACTTTGGAAACTGAGGCAAAGCACGCTGCCCAGTGCACTGTGGGGTCAGAATTGATTATGGTTGCATGTTTTTGAATGTGGTTGTGCTGTTTTCCTAAACTAATGCTTGGTTCCCTTTCCCTGTTAGTTAAAACTCTTTTATTATACACAAACTCAGTGCTTGCAAGAGGGGAAATATTGGGTGTTTAGTTTTCCCAGATTACTGGATGGGGCTCAAGTAAATTCTGTTTTGTATTGTTAAGGGGAAACCTCAGGTAATGAATCCAGCCCTTTTTGCTGCTGACTTCACCTGGCAGAAGGTGTTACAGTTATAAGAAATTAGATGGTAAGTAATTATTGTAGGGTCCCAAGTATATCTTGATATTAGTAAGACTTCTGACACAGTCCCACAGGAGAGTCTTATAAACAAACTAAGGAAACATTTCCCAGTCCCACATAGGATAACATGCACATTACACTGTTTTCAATCCCTCTGAAGCATCGGGCGCCAGCAGGATACTGGGCTAGATGGACCACTGGTCTGATGTTGCAGGGCCATTCTTATGTTCTCATGTTCTTATCTTCATGACCTATGCACAGATTCGCTCTATTCTCAGCGTTGAAAGTGGAACTGAAGCAGGATCGAAATGGTACATTTATTTTGTGTTCACCCCTGTGCCCAGGGCTGACTTAACTCAACCTAATGAAATTAGACCCTCCAGTCTGAAGAGGCGTCCAGTCAAGTGAAATATGGTGAAAGGTCAGGGACTCAAGTGATGAGCAGAACAGGACACCTAAGGGTGACCCAATGGAGACTTCTGAGTTGCAGCAAAAAGTGGCAGTAGGTAAAAGGAAAGAGGTCAGGGTTGTATAAAGTTTTAGATAGAGACGCAGTTCCAAGATTTTAATCCTATGACCTAACAAGACAGTGGTGTTTTTCTCAGACAATGCACCTGACAAAGAGAAGAAACAGACCAATATAAAGCCTGCTTAGTCATGGGGGAGGATGGTTGAGGAATGAGTTTCTAGAGGAAATCAAATAATTCAGACTCTGACCAACTTTAGCACAGGACAGAAGGCCCTTCTCTTTCAGCAAACTACCCTGCCATGGCCAGAATAGTTTTTAAATTGCTATCTATGCTATAACCTGCACTTCCTATAACCAGGGAAGTAGGAAGAATAAAAGGTTATATGACATTTCCTAAAGAACTCTTTATGGGACTTCAGGAACACAGGAATTGTTCTGTGATTCTTCGGGTCCTATATCCCTTGTGAAATAATACTCAGTAACATCTCTTTCAGAGAAGTTCACCTAGGAAAAGTTTAGATGCTGCATTACTGGGACTATGCAACATTTTCAGATAGATACTGTAAATAGACTGGAATGCCCCCAGAATGAGAAAATGTACCACCATCACCCTTTTCACCTGGAGAGATGAAAGAGGAGAGGTTATTAATTTACTAATGATCACTCAGGACATGTGTGGCTAAACACAAGGCCAAGATTTTCAAAAGTGACTATTCATTTTAGTGCCCAAGTTCAGACACCTTGAAAAATCCTGTTTTTCAATTCCCATGGAGGTATCTCAAGCAGGAAACAGGACCATTCGCATTTGAAATGCTTGGCTTTCAGTTCTTCTGTGAATACATTTTCAGGAACAGAGCCTTGGAATTTTTTTTGGCGGGGGCTGGAGAGGAGGGAGGAGCATGAAACAAGCTAAGTGTTTCTAGTGTAGTAACTGCCAGTTAGAGAAAATTCCTTGTTCAACTAAAAACTCTTCAGATTTTTTTCTAAGTATATGTCTACACTACGAAATTAGATCGAATTTATAGAAGTCGTTTTTTTAGAAATCAGTTTTATATATTCGAGTGTGTGTGTCCCCACAGAAAATGCTCTAAGTGCATTAAGTGCATTAACTCGGCGGAGTGCTTCCACAGTACCGAGGCTAGAGTCGACTTCCGGAGTGTTGCACTGTGGGTAGCTATCCCACAGTTCCCGCAGTCTCCGCTGCCCATTGGAATTCTGGATTGAGATCTCAATGCCTGATGGGGCTAAAACATTGTCGCGAGTGGTTCTGGGTACGTATCGTCAGGCCCCCGTTCCCTCCCTCCCTCCGTGAAAGCAAGGGCAGACAATCGTTTCGCGCCTTTTTTCCTGAGTTATCTGTGCAGACGCCATACCACGGCAAGCATGGAGCCCACTCAGCTCACTATCACCGTATGTCTCCTGGGTGCTGGCAGATGTGGTACTGCATTGCTACACAGCAGCAGCAACCCATTGCCTTGTGGCAGCAGACAGTGCAATAGGACTGGTAGCCGTCATCATCATGTCCGAGGTGCTCCTGGTCGCCTCTGTGAGGTTGATCAGGAGCGCCTGGGCAGACATGGGTGCAGGGACTAAATTTGGAGTGACTTGATCAGGTCATTCTCTTTAGTCCTGCAGTCAGTCCTATTGAACCATCTTATGGTGAGCAGGCAGGTGATACGGATTGCTAGCAGTCCTATTGCATCATCTTCTGCCGGGCAGGCAAGAGATGAGGATGGCTAGCAGTCCTATAATACCATCTTCTGCCGAGGAGCCATGAGATGTGGATGGCATGCAGTCCTTCTGCACCATCTGCTGCCAGCCAAAGATGTAAAAGATAGATGGAGTGTATCAAAACAAGAAATAGACCAGATTTGTTTTGTACTCATTTGCAAACCGCCCCCCACCCCCGTCTAGGGGACTCATTCCTCTAGGTCACACTGCAGTCACTCACAGAGAAGGTGCAGCGAGGTAAATCTAGCCATGTATCAATCAGAGGCCAGACTAACCTCCTTGTTCCAATAAGAACAATAACTTAGGTGCACCATTTCTTATTGGAACCCTCCGTGAAGTCCTGCCTGAAATACTCCTTGATGTAAAGCCACCCCCTTTGTTGATTTTAACTCCCTGTAAGCCAACCCTGTAAGCCATGTCATCAGTCGCCCCTCCCTGCGTCAGAGCAACGGCAAACAATTGTGCGTCTGAGTTGAGTGCTGTCCAGAGCAGTCACAATGGAGCACTCTGGGATAGCTCCCGGAGGCCAATACCGTCGAATTGTGTCCACAGTACCCCAAATTCCACCCGGCAAGGCCAATTTAAGCACTAATCCACTTGTCAGGGGTGGAGTAAGGAAATCGATTTTAAGAGCCCTTTAAGTCAAAATAAAGGGCTTCATCCTATGGATGGTGCAGGTTACATCGATTTAACGCTGCTAAATTCAACCTAAAGTCTTAGTGTAGACCAGGGCTAAGAGTAGCACTCATACCTTCTTAAAAATTATAATAAATTAGCTGGAGGGTAATTATTTTAGAGCCCCAACTATATATAGATATTTGTACAATTTATGACAGAGTCCTACAAAGTAGGGAAACATTTCCCTCAACCATATGGTTGAGATGAAATTATATAAGGTGGCTACATAACTGGTTGAAAGACTGGACTCAAAGACTAGTTATCAATGGTTTGCTGTCAACCTGCAAGGCTATATCTATAGGGGAACCATAGTATGTTATCCTGGGTCTTGTACTCTTCAATATTTTCAATAATGCTTGAATAACACAGTGGACAGTACACTGATAAAATTTGAGGATGACACCAAGTGGAGAACAATTGTAAGCAGTTTAGAGGACAGGGTTAGAATTCAAAATGACCATCATTAATTGGAGACTTCATCTGAACTCAACAAAATTAAATTCAATAAAGGCAAGTGCACAAGTATGAAATTCAGGAAGGAAATTTTCCAACTCTGATAGGCACTGATCAGGTCTAAACTGGAGTCTTGTCCCCAGTTTTGGCCAGTACACTTCAATAGGGAAGATGTGGGCAAACTGGAGATAGTCCAGAGGAGTGCTACAAAAATGATAAAAGGTTTAGAAGCCTGAAATCTGGGAAAAAATTAAAAAACAGGGCATGATTACGGTCTTGAGAAAAGCCGACTGAGGGGGGGGACTGGATAACAGTTTCCCAGTATGTGCTGGGCTGTTATAAAGAGCATGCTGATCAATTGTTCTTTATGTGCACTGAAGACAAAATGAGATGTAATTGGCTTAATCTGCAGCAAGGGAGATTTAGGAATCTCCCTCACTGAAGGTTCTAAAAAAAGTTACACAAACACCTGTCAGGGATGGTTTAAGTCTACTGGGTCCTGCCTCAGCAAAGGGGACTGAATGAGATGACATCTCAAGGTTCCTTTCAGCCCTGTATGTCAAGGAGTCTACAATTCTATATAATATGTAGAGCAGGGAAATATATTATAGTTCCATTATATCTAAGACATCTAACAAGAGGGAATTCTCCCCTGTGCAGACGGCCTGCACAATGCTATTGACCAGTTAATGTACCTGATTTTCTTCTTACTTATGTGCTTCAATGGGACTGATGGAGTGCATGGGGCTGGTATTGACCATCTGTATAGGGTCAAATTTCACCCAAAGAGCTTTGGAAAGAAAGAATGGAGGAGAAAGGAAAACCAGAAGGCCAATGCTATGATGCAGCATAAATTTTAATGAGGATGAACAGTGGAGTACACACTTTCAGAATGAATTATTGCACAGTACAAAGAATGTATTTTCAGGGTTACAAGAAGAGCTAAAGCTCATCACCCACTCCAAAGTGATGCATTTCACACAGGATGTTCTGCTTTCTTTCTTGAAGAAGCAGAGTTTCAAAATCCCGTCCCATTTTCAATCCAATGACTGGTTTTAGCCTGGTTAACATCAAATAGCACAAAGCACAATAGGAGCATAAGATTAAGCTGCAAAACAATTATATCTTAAGCTTTGGGTATTATGTAACAACAGGAAGATGTAGATACCCTGTTTTATAGAGATGATGAACAACCACAGTCCACACTGATTTCAGGCAGACTTGTAAGCATCATTGTCCATTAGCTCAGTGACTAATTTCTATCTTGTCATTTCCTGATTGTTTCTCATTCCATGGATTGTTCTTCTGGATTTAACGTGGCCCACAATGTCCAGAATATCCTCCCCCAGAAATGGAAATGCTACGTTGTGACCTTCTGCCATAACCGCATGGGCCCCCATAACAATATGAGCCTCCTAACCACCCCTGAGTCCACCCCTTAAACCACCACCATAACCTCCCCCCATAACCAAATGAGCCACTGAAACCACCACTAGAACCAGAGAAGCTGCTAGGTCTTGCGGGCAAATTTGGTAAGGTTGTTCCCACGATGCTGTCTTGAGGGCAAGTAGCGAAAGTTGGTCTCTGGAATCTCACAATAACTGGTGGTACAAAGACCACTGCAGTTGAATCTCCACATGATGTGACACACGGCTCGTTGCAGACGTCAATACATGGGCATGGGCATATATCGGCATAATAATCCTGGGGTAGGCAACACAGAGCTTTGGAGCAAGACATCTTCTGTGATGGAGGGAAAATCCTGAAAAACACAGAAGTAAAGAAACCATGAGACACAGCTGAGATTGGAATAAGAGTTTTCAGAGTTTGAGTTGTAGGTTACAGGGGGCTAGGTAGGTAGGTAGGTTTTGTAGAAGGCCACATATCTGCTCCCATTTTTTCCTTCTATTCCTGTGCACCCACTCCCCCCTTTGGCTTCAGAAACAAAATAATAATAACAATAATTAATAATAAAAATAAGAATGATAATTATTCCTCGCGGTTTCATAACAAAATACATTTTCACTGTTTCCTGCAACCATTTAGTTGCACAACACACAGGTGAAGTGAGTTGTTATTTTCCCTGGGAAACAATACTCGCAGCACAGAGGCTCAGTGGACTTGCCCACCATCATTGGCGAGTCACTGAATGAGCTCGAAGCAGAATTTAGGCCTTCTTAATTGTTACCCGTGATAGAAGTTGTCATTAGGAAATTTCAGTAGCTCCTAATTGCTGCAACTGAGAATACGGCCCCATTGTGACAGGCATTGTACAAACAAAGAGTAAGAAACAGTAACTGGGATAAGGAGCTCATCTGGGAGGTGTGAGATCTGGAGACAAGTTGCTGCTCCAAGTCCGACCAAGTGAGAATCTGAAAACAGGTCTCCTATATCCTAGCAGAGTGCTCTAAGGGATATTCTGGGACAACCCCATGCCACCAGCCCACCAAAGCCCTGCTGTAGTCACCCTCAGTTGTCTCCGCTGTAGGTCTTGAACTGGTAGGTGTGTGCTGAGAAAACCTACTGGACTGTGACCCACAGGTGAAATCAGGGGGAAATTCCTACTGAGCAGACTGAGGACACTGAGCACCTTGGCAGCATCAGGACCTTAGTGGATAGAAACTTAGGTGCTGAGGGAATTTAGGTGCCTGCAGTGTTACCAGTTTGGAAGACTTCAGTGTGACCAAGATCAAACAGAAAATCAATGAAGAAACCAAATGCAGATTTCCTGAGTCCCTGTCTTATGACATGACCACAGGACTTTCTGTTCTCACCAGCCCAGGAGGGTCGAGTTAAAAATTACCAAGGCCACAGTCGAAAATATTTCCATCATGGATGCCTGGAAATTTCAAATTATTTTGGAAAGGTTTACCAGAAAGAAGTGCAGAGACTCTGGTAATAATGTGAGTGTCCTTTTTAAAAGAGCTCAAAACAGGAGCTAAAACCCCCATCTGATCTAAGTCATCATAGATCTCAGTCATCATAGCTACCGTTAATTCAAAGGTGCTATTTTAACTTACACAAGATAAAGATCTGAATCAAGGATTACAAGTTACACCCAGGTGATATACTGGATCAAATCAGTGGTCGAATTAATTCAGTGTCCTGTCTGTAATGCTGTGCAGCACCACACCCTTAGAGGAAATTATAGAAGCCCTGACGTAGCCCGTTATGGAGGAAACTGCTCATAAGGAGAATTTTTTCCTCATATCAATAAAGCAGGGGCTAGGTTTGCCCTGAGGGAAAATTCATATAAAGCAATACCAACTTCTCAAACGTATCTAGATCTAGGTGGTGTACTAAACGAAAAAGAACAACCAAGTTGCTGTTCAATTGTTATATATATTTCAAAGCTGATCTCCAGCATTTTATGGAAACAATAAGGTCAGATGATGAGCTCACACAAATAGCTATGAGCCCAGTGAAATCAGCTGATGGTCTGGCAATTGTATTTATCTATAAAGAGTCAGACTAAATAAAGTGGTCCATTACCAAAGTAGCTTAAGGCTGAGATTTTTCATAATTGTCTAATGGATTTAAATGCCCTATCCTTTTATAACCATTGGGAATCGGTGTCGCAGTCCAATATGGGGAATTGAAAATCCCAGGATTATATTTTTAAAGTCGGCATCCACCAAGTCCTGCAAGTGACTAGTTAGAGAGAGTCTCTCATAAAGACAAATCTGCCCTCCTAACATTTGCTAAAGACACACAGTATTGGTGCAGGTTTAGGCAGTAGTTTAAAGTATCTCTAAAGCAACAACTGGAGCAATTTGAATCCGATAGACTTACCCAGTTCACCACGGGGATGAAGTTAAGAGAAGTGGATAAAACAACCCAGCGTTGCAAGCACTTCTATGTGCTTTCTTAGCATGGGGGAAGGATCGGAGATACCCTGGCTGTACCAAGACCTTATCAATAACGAAACAAAGTGTTTTCTTGCGTGCCTTACCGCTGAGAAAACAAAATCGTGACTTGCTTTGGTAAACTCCTTTAATTATTGTAATGGCTTTGCAATGGCTGATCCATTACTCAATTCCCAGTCCCACCTAGGATGGCATGCACATTTCAGCCAGCATTTCCTTTAATCTCAAACCTTTATGGGCAAGATACCTTCCTTTTATCATCCCACTGATCGCCTCGGTGTTGGCACAGGTATAAATATAGTTCCATTTGATTAGTTCTCCATTGAAGGACTTCAAAATAGAAGGGTGACTCAGAGGTGTGTCAATATTACAGTCTGCTGTCATGCACAGGTTTTCATTCTAGTTCTTTAAATCTCAAGTAGGTTCTAATTAGCGGCAAGGTGGAGTTCACCCTCGTAAATCCTTCAAGGGTGGGAGACATTATTCTCCATGTTTAGTGTCCCCACTCTTAGCTATACATGCTGTTTTTCAGTCAACACCCTTTTGAACTACATGAATGTCTTTCCAATCAGCTTAATGATCTTGGAACCAGGCCTTCTGGGTTACAGTCTTCTCCTGGACCCATGACCAGGACAGTGGAACAAATTGATAAATTTAATGGTAATAAGTCACCAGGACCACATGGTATTTACCCAGGAGTTCTGAAGGAACTCAAATAAGAAATTATAGAACTGCTAACTGTTGTATGTAACGTATCACTGAAATCATCCTCTCACTGGCAGATAATTAATGTGTCATCAATTTTTTTTAAAAGTGACTAAGGGCAATCCTGGCAATTACAGGCCAGTAAGCCTCACTTCAGCACCAGGCACATTGGTTGAAACTATGGTAAAGATCAGAATTATCAGCCACATAGATGAACATGACATGTTGGGAAAGAGTTAACACAGCTTTTACAAAGGTAAATCATGTTTCACCAGTATATTAGAATTCTTTGAATTGGTCAACAAATATGTGGACAGAGGTGATCCAGTGGAGAAAGTGTACTTGGACCTTAAGAAAGCCTTTGACAAGCTCCTTCACCAAAGGCTCTTAAGCAAAATAAAGAGTTATGAGATAAGAGGGAAGGTCCTCTCCTGGATCAGTAACTGCTTAAAATATAGGGGGGAAAGGATAGGAAGGAAATAGTCAGTTTTCAAAGGAAAAGAGGTAAATCATGGGCTCCCTCAAGGAGCTGTACTGGGATCAGTGCTGTTCCACCTATTCATAAACGATCTGGAAAAAGGGGTAAACTTTGAGATGGCAAAGTTTGCAGACCACACAAAATTACTCAAGATATTTAAGTGCAAAGCATACTGCAAAGAATTTAAAAGGGATCTTAGAAAACTGGGTGAGTGGGCAAGAAAATGGCAGCTGAAATTCTATGTTGACAAATGAACAGTAATACAGATTGGAAAACATAATCCCAACTATACATAAACAATGATGGGGTCTAAATTAGGAGTTGCCACTCAAGAAAGAACTTGAAGTCATTTTGGGTAGTTCTCTGAAAATATTTACTCAATATGCAGCAGGAGTCAAAAAAACAAAACAAAACAGAATGTTAGGAACCATTAGGAAAGGAATGGAAAAAGAAAAGGAGTACTTGTGGCACCTTAGAGACTAACCAATTTATTTGAGCATAAGCTTTCGTGAGTTACAGCTCACTTCATCGGATGCATACTGTGGAAAGTATAGAAGATGTTTTTATACACACAAACCATGAAAAAATGATTGATTATCACTACAAAAGGTTTTCTTTCCCCCCACCCCACTCTCCGATTGGTAACAGCTTATGTAAAGTGATCACTCTCCTTACAATGTGTATGATAATCAAGGTGGGCCATTACCAGCACAAATCCAGGTTTTCTCCACCCCCCCCCCCCCAGAAAAAAAACACTCTCCTGTTGGTAATAGCTTATCTAAAGTGATCACTCTCCTTACAAGGTTGATCTCTTGTAAGGAGAGTGATCACTTTAGATAAGCTATTACCAACAGGAGAGTTTTTTTGGGGGGTGTTGGGGTGTTGGGGGGGGGGAAACCTGGATTTGTGCTGGTAATGGCCAACCTTGATTATCATACACATTGTAAGGAGAGTGATCACTTTACATAAGCTGTTACCAGCAGGAGAGTGGGATGGGGGGAGAGAAAACCTTTTGTAGTGATAATCACCCATTTTTTCATGGTTTGTGTGTATAAAAACGTCTTCTGTACTTTCCACAGTATGCATCCCATGAAGTGAGCTGTAGCTCACGAAAGCTTATGCTCAAATAAATTGGTTAGTCTCTAAGGTGCCACAAGTACTCCTTTTCTTTTTGCAAATACAAACTAACACAGCTGTTACTAGGAAAGGAATAGGTCATAAGACAGAAAATATCATAATGCTACTAAATAAATCCATGTATGTCCACCCCTGTGATACTGCATGTGGTTATGGTCACCCCATCTCAAAAAAATATTAGAATTGGAAAAAGTCCAGAGAAGGGCAACACAAAAGATTAAGGGTATGGAACAGCTTCTATATGAGGTGAGATTAAAAAGACTGGAACTGTTCATCTTGGAAAAGAGACTACTAAGGGGGAATATGATAGAGGAATGTAAAATCATGATTGGTGTTGAGAAAGACAAAGATGAAGTATTTATCCCTCCACGTAACAGAAGAACCAGGGATCGCCCAAAGAAATTAATCGGCAGCAGGTTTAAATCAAACATGAGGAAATACTTCTTCACCCAACACACAGTCAATCTGTGAACTTGTTTCCAGGGCATTGTGTGAGGTCAAAAATGTAACTGGCTTCAAAAAAGAATTAAAAAATTCTTTGAGGATAGATCCATCAATGGCTATTAGGGCAGATGGTCCAGGAGGCAACCCCATGCTCTGGGTGTCCCTAAACCTAAAGCTGGGACTGAAAGACAGGGGATAGATTACTTGATAAATTGTCTATTTCTGGGAAGGTTATCATAAATTAGCTGGAGGGAAATTATTTTAGAGCCCCAACTGTATCTTGATATTAGTAAAGCTTTTGAAACAGTCCCACAGGATATTCTTACAAGCAAACTAGGGAAACATTTCCCTCAACCACATGGTTGAGACAAAATTATTATCAGGTGCTACATAACTGGTTGAAAGACTGGACTCAGAGACTAGTTATCAATGGTTTGGTGTCAACCTGGGAGGTTATATCTAAAGGGCACCCACAAGAGGTTATCCTGGGTCTTTTATTTTTCAAGATTTTCACTAATTACTTGCATAACAGTTCACTGATAAAAAGAAAAGGAGGACTTGTGGCACCTTAGAGACTAACCAATTTATTTGAGCATGAGCTTTCGTGAGCTACAGCTCACTTCATCAGATGCATACCGTGGAAACTGCAGCAGACTTTATATACACACAGAGAATATGAAACAATACCTCCTCCCACCCCACTGTCCTGCTGGTAATAGCTTATCTAAAGTGATCAACAGGTGGGCCATTTCCAGCACAAATCCAGGTTTTCTCACCCTCCACCCCCCCACACAAATTCACTCTCCTGTGTGTATATATTCTCTGTGTGTATATAAAGTCTGCTGCAGTTTCCACGGTAAACATCTGATGAAGTGAGCTGTAGCTCACGAAAGCTCATGCTCAAATAAATTGGTTAGTCTCTAAGGTGCCACAAGTACTCCTTTTCTTTTTGCGAATACAGACTAACACGGCTGTTCCTCTGAAACAGTTCACTGATATAATTTGCAGAGGACACCAAGCTGAGAGAGGTTGCGAGCACTTTGGAAGACAGGATGAGAAGTCAAAATGAGCTTCCCTAATTGATGACTTCATCTGAGAAAAGCAAAATGAAATTCAATAAAGTGAACTGCAAAGTATGAAGTCTAGGAAGGAAATTGTCCCACTTTGATAGACACTGGTGGGCCTAAGCTGGAGTTTTGTCCCCAGTTTTGGCCAGCACAATTCAATAGGGAAGATGTGGACAAACTAGAGAGAGTCCAGAGGAGAGCAACAAAAAAAAACCCAAAAGGTTTAGAAACCTGACCTCTGAGGACTAGTTCAAAACACTGGACATGTTTTGTGCTGAGAAAAGCAGATTGACATGGGAACGGATAACAGTTTTCAGGTATATGCAGGGCTGTTATAAAGAGCATCCTGTTCAATTGTTTTGCGTGTCGGATGAAAATAAGATGAGTTGTAATTGGTTTAATCTGCAGCATGGGAGATTGAGGATGGATATTAGCAATAACTGTCTAACTATCATAGGTAAGCATTGATTTCACACTCCCACAGGAAGTTGTAGAATCTCCATCATTGAAGGTGTTTATAAGGACATGTAATCAAAGGCCGGTCAGATGCTCCCTCCGCACAGGGGGCTGGACTAGGTGACCTCTCCAGGTTCCTTTCAGCCCTCTTTCTCAAGGATTCTACATTTTTTATGTAATATTTAGACCAGGGAAATATATTCTAATTCCCTTTTGAGACTACCTGATTTGCTACTTAGTTATTCCCTTGAGGTGGAGATTTGTAGTGCAGGGGGCACATACGAAGCATCTACACTGGGGTGAATTTCACCCAAATCGCTTTGGATAGAAAGAAGGGAGGAGAAAGTAAAACCAGAAGGCCAATGCTGTGATGCAGAATAATTTTTAATGGGAATGAGCAGCGGAGCACACACTTGCAGAATGAATGAATGCAGAGTACAAAGAATGTATTTTCAGGGTTACAATACGAGCAAGAACCAATCACCCGCTCCAAAGTGATGCTTTTCACACAAGATTTTCTGCTTTCTGTCTTGAAGCTGCTGACTTTGAAAATCACGTCCCTTTTTCAACCAAGTGACTTGTTTTAGCCAGTTCAACATCAAGTAGCGCAAAGCACAATAGGAGCATAAGACTAAGCTGCAAAACCATTGGATCATAAACCTACACTAATATGTAACAAGTGGAAGAGACCGACAGGCCTGATTTACAGAGGTGATGAACACCCACAGTCTGCAAGTAGAGTTGTAGGCATCATTGTCCATTAGATCAGTTGTGAATCTCTATCTTGTCATTTCCTGTTTGTTTCTCATTCCATGGCTCGTTCTTCTGGGTTTAACATGGCCCACAATTTCCATAGCCGGACCCAGAATATCCTCCCCCAGAAATGCTACGATATGACTTCCTGCTATAACCACATGAGCCCCCGTAACCATATGAGCCTCCATAACCACCCCCATAACCACGCCCGGCTCCACCTCCATAACCACCCCCGGCTCCACTCCCATAAACAACAACGTTACCTCCCCCGTAACCACCACCATAATCTCCCCCATAACCACCACCATAACTACCCCCAGAACCGATTGAGCCTCTGAAAC